AATTTTCATTTCGGGGTGAACTATATGCTTTTTAAAAATTAGCAAACGCCACTGAAATCCCCCAAAATACTGCTTACACATTAACCTAGCTATCTAAACAAGTTATAAATAAAGCTAACTATGATTACAACAGACTAACAATAACCCAAACCCTATTAGAAACCTTTTAGCCTTTTTACAGTAAAAAAAAAAAAAGAAAAAAACTATTTTATTTTTGCTTTACAAATGATTTTGACCTCTGAGGATGTCCTGGACCTCCCCAATGGGAGATTTAGTCAAATTTAGATAACTTCGGGGACAATGTTGTCCCTAAAGTCTAACTAAGTAAACCCACCCCCCAGCAGCTGCCACTGCTCCTCTTCCGACTCGTGTGCTCCAACAGACCCTACAACTACAAACATTACAGTCCTTAAAACAACACGGGCGCTGGGCTCGGAGCGCGACTGTGCGTGTGAGAGCCGTTTGAGGAGGCCGTGAGAGCCCAGCGGTCATGCTTGGTCAGGGACAGACAATGTGCGTTTGTTACTTAAGCACTGTTGTTAATGAAGCTCCCCATGCGCACACACACATGGATGTACAATAAAAATTAGGTTTCATGCCAAGCCCTCTCGCTTTCAATCTCCGTGTTATATAACGACTACAGAAATACGGTTTTAAGTTGCTAACTGAATCCCCGTTAAAATGCACATGCGTTATAGTTAGACTCTCAGGATATGGCATTAACAGAACGCAACTCGCTCACACACACACACACACACACACACCGACAAACATCCACAACACCGTGAAATGCTATCAAGGTGGAACAAAAGCCACTTCACACACACTTCAGAGAGGAACAGGTCTGCTGTGGAAATGCTGGCTGAGATGGAGGGAAGTGTGTGTGTGAGTCTGCGTGAGTCCTCTCTTGCTGTTCAACATATTGAAACTCTGACAGAGTTAATCTCCTCACTGTCAACTCCTATTATAACACCACTGATCATGACATACACACACTAACTCATGCATACACAAACACACGCACACGATTCACGCCTACACACTCGTAAATGCACACAGACAAATGATTGAAAGTAACACGACTCGGAGAATAATTATTACTGCAGTGGATGACTGAATATATGCCCAAACATGTCCTAAATGATCCTGAACAGTCACACATGAATCCGTTACTATGATCGCAGTTGAGAACCAACATAATCCCCGAGAAGGTCAAAGGACATTTCTGTCTTTTCATTTCGTAAAAATCAGGCTCCAAAAAAACTGTGTTCAGAAATTTCTACATTTTAAATGCAGCGAAGCAGTCAGCATGTGTGTTGACAGGTTGGCTCACAGGGATACAGGTTCGAGTCTCCTTTGTTGTGCAATTATATCTTGAAAATCCCAGATCAACTGCTAGAAAACGGTTTCGTGTCATTTCCAAACTTTTGAAGATATTTGTCTCTCAACTGTTTTTATCCATACAATTTAAGTCAATGGGGCTCCATCCATAACAACATTGTTCTGTTGTGGAAAAGAAAGTCACAAGTTCTTTTCCACATTTTTAAAGAGTGTTCATGAGCTAAACAGAATGTTTAACTGCTGCTTTAGACGGTTATATGTGCACAGAGAAGTTGCTGATTAAGACTAATTGTGCACCACAGAGTGTTGAGTAAATGAGCGAACTTGTACGCTTGAATACACACTCACACACACATAAGTAAAGTACTTCAGTAGCATTTTTGAGCTAATGAGAGACAGATTTCCAATTAGCTCCTCATCTCCTCCCTTAGCACTGGAATATGGCCAAAACACACAGTCACATTCATACATATATCATGGATCCCTCTTACTTTGTTCTTTAAAAATCCAAAAGGAATTTAGGAAATTTGCTGTCGTTCATCAGAAAATTGTTTCCTAAACAGCTAGAGTGTTTTCTTGATAAGCGAGTGGCTGCCAAGGACTTGAATGAGGTAAAATTATATTGATTTGTAACTAAGAATTCGATGATGTAACTGGGAAGTAAAGAGAGTTCTCATTTCGTTGTGTATAGTGTGTGACATTAAGATGATAAGACATAACCTGAAATCTGTGCCTCAATGAGATAATTGTCCCAATGATTAGCTATTTTATTCTCTCTCTCTCTCTCTATTCCCAGCAGAATCCACTTCTCTTTTCTTCCCTCAAGGCAGAGGAGAGGAGGGGAGGGGAGGGGTGTCGCTTTTTACATTTTTCTTAGTCCAAATTATAGCTGTGAACCATGCAGATAGGAACAGAATTATACATCTGAAAGCAGCAGTAAGTCTGACTGTGTGCGAGCGCGTATATGTGTAGTTGTGTCTAGAAGTAATTAAATTTACATAATTGTGTCAACAGAATAAATCAGTAAAGCTCTTGTTCCACCAAATGTTTCTTCCAGAGAAAACGCAGCGGTAGCTTCAGCATTCAGTAAACTTTGCGTTTTGCTGATATAAATATCAGAGTGCTGAGGGGTGGAGAACGCAGCCAGAGTTTTTTTTCTAATTTTACAGTCCTTCAATTATATTTCGCATTCAGTCTGAGAGAGGTCTGACCTAAAACACAAATGGCACATTATTATGGGTAAGAGAGCTGTGTGTGTGTGTGCGTGTATGATGGCCTTACTGCTGAGAGTCTGGTAAGAGGTTTAAAGGGTGACTTGGACTTAGTGGTGGTGGACGCTCCCATATGTCCGCTGCAGAGATAGAGCCCGGAGAGTGTGTTTGCCTGAGGCCCATATGCCTTTATGAGAGTGCTTAGGATAAGCTTTGTGTATTGAGTTATTGTGCTGTGTTTTATTGAGATGTGGGATTGAGATATGCAGACATGTCTCTCGTAAATCTCAAAAACAGTCAAGCGGTTCTGATATTCTTTTTCTCGACTTCACACACTCTTTCAAAGTCGATTCTTCTCAATGTACTGTGAGGGCCTCTGAACTTGTAACTAACAACACACACATGCTCTAGCACAGGTGCATACACACACATTCTGCAAGTAAATAAACATTAAGTACTTAAAACAACATGCACCAACTGTGATAAAACAGACCAGGCCAGTTTAAGCATCTGCTGTGCCGTGGAGCTCAAAGCTGCTTCAACGGGAAACACAGAGAGGCTCCAGCAATTGATCTGACATTTTCTCTCGCATGACGAAAAGCTCAAATGTGGCTGATTTTTTTTTTATTTTTATCTCTGTAATGGGTTTAGCTCCTACATAAAATAATACAATTAAAGTTTAAAAAAAAAAAGAAAAAAGAAAAACTGCAGAACGCAACATTTTCTATAATTAGTCTTGGGGAAGTGCTTTTGCATGTAGCAAGGTGTATTGTTTTTATTTTTTTATTTTTTTAAATCACTAAAATTAAAAAGCAATAAATAAATTGGCTATATGTAATATCTGAATTAAGGAACTCTATTCAATTTCGTAAAACTTTATGAAGTTTAACTTTAAAAAGTATTTCAAAAACTTTATGCAGTGCTTAACATATATAGTTATTGCTGATTTATAAATGGTCCATAACATTTCTAACTGTTTGGATGTAAATTAACAAAAGATTTGCTATGCATTATATAATGTAGTAATGTTTAACTATATGAGTTTAAAGTTTTATAAAGTGTTGCCAATTTCTAAGCAATTAACTTTTTAATTTTCCCCTCTTTCCTCAATTTTCGCACGAGAACTTTAAACATGGAAAAAAAACAAATACAACATAAATTTGAGTTCATTCGTAATTTATGGTGCGGTTTTAATTTTAAAAGCCCAATTTATGTTTTCGCGTCGACCCTCGGGTTCTCACATGCTAAAGTTTTCAAGTTTTTTGCTCATCTTTTACAAGCCCAACCGAGAGATCCTAATTAAAATATTCCCCTCGAGATGAAAAACACATGTGCACTATTCCTGTCCCCCTGTTTACGCTCATAACTCAGCGGCTGTGTCTCAAACCCTTTTGAGCTGGCTACCACAACGAGCCCATGGTGCCCAAAATGCTGTCTAGATGCCCCAAAACTGCTGGCACTGTAGGCAGCCCATTAGGTCTTGAGACACAACCACAGTATTTCACACTGCACACAAAGGCTCAAAACAAAGACAAACCATCATGTTTGTCAACTAAAAAGTAGCTTTTTAGTTACGTTATAGGTTTTTACAAAAATAACTATTGCTTGTTTTGCGAATGAAAAACTCAAAACAACCAGCTTTGCTATTCTGTTGAGTCAAGCTTCGGTGGCGCCTTAAGCCATTATTCAGGTTAAGTAAACACGTTGGACGCTCCCTAGAACGTTTTATGAGCAGCAATCAGAGAGATTTTATGAGCGTCTAGGAAACTCCTGCTTAAAAACCGATTAACTCTCTCGACACAACTCTGATTTGATCAATATGACAGACACTGTGCCGCCGGGATTTGGGCAGGCCGGTGGCGGTGATTCACCTCGCCTCTCATGGGAAAAGAATAAAAAGATGGACACGCCGATAGAGATAATGAGTTTCGTGCTAAAAACAACGAGGAACAGTAGCTGATCTATTTCTAATTTTTACAAGAAGGCTATTGTATGGAGAAATAAGGCCCGTGTCAAGGCCACACGTTCAATTTGTGTATCTGAATTTGTAACGTTAGTTAAGAAAGCCAAGAGGTTATTTTTAAAACGATATTTCGCATTAACATTTAACGGAGTTGTACTAGTATGAAATTGTTGTCGAATCCCCGCACAACAAGGGATTTTGCGAGTTGATGAGATGCGGCGGTGGAGTATGACAGCTGTGTGTTATATCCCGGGAGAGCGCGCGCTTGATCGGTCACTTCAGGCTCGAGCTCAGCGCGAGCTTCATGTCATCATGCCGGAGAGCGAGCCGTGACCGGAGCTTTTCACAACGGATTACTCAAACTCTGTGTCTATTTCATGATCAATAGACGCCGAACTAGTAATATCATCAATCTGAGACCGCAGTGATACACTTCAAGTTCATACACTCTTTGAGGGATTTTAAACACGCGCTCGTGCACTTACTTTTGATTTTGTGAATTCCACACGACAGACTCCAGTGATTTGGCTGCGGGTAACGCGTATCTGCACATGGTTGTCAGAATCCAGAGGTAATATTTCCACGAGCCGCCACTTCCAGCCATCTTACAGGGTTCTCGGAGAGACACAAGCCAGCAAGAAGATAAGATCCTTTCGATCGACTGTACTCCGGGTTACCGAACCACATGCAAAAGGACTAGGTTAGGCGTCCAGGCGGAGGGGCTCCATGGCTCAACTTCCAAATCCAATTTTTCTATGGTTGCCTGGAGGAAAAAAGGTGTCGCACAACGTTGCACATGCAGTTTCTGGCCCAACGTTTCTCTTTTACCAAAATCGCTGCTACCTTGTACTTAGGTAGACTGCAGCGCGTGACTGTTTTATTGTAGTCATCTATTAGTGAGCTGGTAGCCTTACAAAAGGTCAAATCACGCCAGATTAGGGGTGAGTGACGTGAACACAGGTATAAGGACCATCAATCCCGTGTTGGGGTTCGGGTTTGTGAAGAAATCCGGTCCTGGTCATGTGTCAGATTTAAATCTAGACTCCTTTCGCTTTTGATCCCAGATCATAGAGATGAGCTTTAGAGACGCAACAGTTCTGTCTGAAATTTACCGACCTAAATCCATGTTCAAAGTGTCCAGCAACAACGCTTAACTGTCAGTCGCAGGACTGCCAAAAATATCTGTCCAATTCCATTTGGATTTTCTTTCAAAAAAGGCACGAGAAGTAACGTTAAACTCCCGAGTTTTGCGGCTGCTTATATTGAATAATCTGGCGTTTCAATGCATGCTGATAGACGGGGTCTCAGCTACTGTCCGCTGCTGGTTCGTGTGCCAAAAGGAGCACGCTGTTTCGTCTCAAGGATACAAAAAAAAGATGGGGAAACTTCGGCGCTGTACTCGCTTCCTCGGCGAATTAATGACGCGACTTTTAGCCTCGGATCTTGTTTGGATTTGTTCGGCGCTCGACCGTGGATTCGGTGCGACCGTAGTCAGTCCCGCACACCGTTCACAGCGCAGTGACTCCCGATACATCACCTCCACTCCCACCGAGCTGCTAAACCCCGCCCCGTTCAGAAACGGACCAATCGAGGCGCACGTTTAGGGCGACGTCACAACATGGTGTCCCTCTGTGTACAGCGAGTTTCGGAGAAGTTCTGCAACTGCAAGACTGATGTACAAAAATCTATAGTTAGTCTGTCATTCTTTTAAAGATAAGAAGACGTTTTCGAAAAGTAACGTTAGTTGAATTTATGATACCCATTGTCATCAGTTTTTGTGCAGATTTACTATGGCACAAATTAATGTTTTCTGTAGACGTCGTATAGCGAGATTGTTTGTTACTGTGGTTACTCCTAGATAACGTTTATCTCGTAAGTTGCATTACAGTTTATAATTTTCGCCAAGATATGCACTTCTGGAGTCATATATGAATACGTAAGTCAGTTTTACATTCACAGCGCATAACGGTTTACAGCTGAAAACACGGGTCTTCACAGTACAAGTGTTTAATAACAGATTTAGGATCATTATCCCAAAGACATCCAAGAGAGTGACACTAATGATATTTGATGGTCAAACAAAGATAACGCTAATCCTTTCAGTAGTCAATATCGCCCCCTATTGGCTTTAAAAATGATTTTAATTTTCATCCTGTAAAATATTTCGTTTTCTGGACTTGTTGTTGGTTTATTTTAGTAGAACACTGGCAGATAGTTACAATATACTGTACAACAAACGGTGGCATGTTACAATATGAAGTGCGTCAAAATTAAGCTGGTTTACTTCTTAATCATTTCATTTGTCTATGAATGCTAACAACTATCTGTTAATAAGGTTTTGTATGCCTTCCTCCCTCAGTAAGATGTGATTCTGAGTGACATATGGTGTCCTGTCAGTCTACTACACAATGTGTGTGTGTGTGGTTCTTCAGAGAGCCATATGTCTTGAGATGGGTTAGTCCTCTGGCTTGTGTTTAGATAACATGAGTGTGGTGCAGCTTTTACTCTGAGCTCTTGTGTGTGGGAAATGTCAGTTTATTCATTACCCACATTTAGATCAGGTTCTGAAAGAGCAGCCACACATTTAGAAATGATATATGTGCTGTTATGGGATCTGTTTAAGGCAGAAAGAGGAGTTTGTATTCTGTGATAGATAAACGTTACTTTAAAAGTAGTTAGCAGCAGCACAGTTTCAGGTGTCTTCCGAATTTTGTGTGTAACAATGTTTGCATACCTTTTACATAAACACAAATATCTGACCTTTTCTTATTTCACCAGTACTCAAAGCTAAATATAGCCCCCACCTTAACTTGACTATTATCGAGACCTTTTTAGCCAGTTATACGCCCCCTTTTTTTCCTCTCATTTTTCTTTAATGTGCTCTTTGTGGATCTGAGATGATCTGACGTTTAGTACTGCTAGCCTGAATTGAAATATTTATTGCATCAAGCTCAGAGAGAGCAAAACCACATACACACCCAAGGAGAAATTACTGCCATGCATTTGTCAGCAGCTATTCACTAATATGTCCACACTGCTGTCTGAACACAGTTACTTTATAAACCTAAAGTGCACATGGGCACACAGACACACAAATACACACATAAGCACTTTGAACTTTGCATACAAAGATGGTAACTAAGCACATACATGCATATATGTATATATTTATTTGTAGGGTGTGTGCGTGTGTGTTTGTTTGAAATTGAAAGCATTTTAGACTTGTCAATGCTGCATTTACAGTTGTAATATCAAAAATATTATTTGCATTATATATTTTTATAATTGAATAGCTGTTATAATTGAATCTATTTTAAAATATGATTTATTCCTGTGATGCAAATCTTAATTTCCATCATCCATTACTTCAGTTTCACATGATCCTTAAGAAATCATTCATAAGGATCATGATATTCCAAATTGGCACTCAAGAAACATTTTGTGTTATTATTGCAGTTAAATACAGTCTTTCTGCTCAATTGTATTCTAAATTTTTTTCAGGATTCTTTAATGAATATAAAATTCAAAAGAAATAAATAGCAATCTTTGGTAACATTATAAAATACTGTCTTTTCATTTAAATGAATGTTTCCTTGCTGGGTATTAATGTCTTTGAAAATCATTATATATATTTGTTTATTTGGGAGGGGAGTACATACTACAGTCAATCTATGTAATCCCTGTTTTCCTGTGTATATGCTTGAGTGTTAAAGTTTGAGCACTTGTTACCAGGCAGCAAAAAGTTTCGATAAAGATGAATGGTGGCTTAACGTGACTCCCTTATGAACTTTATTATATTACTAATTGACATCATTGTTAGTTAAGCTAAGTTAGCATTCATGTCTGCATGTGTATAAAGGTGCATATATTTGTGTGGGCGAAGGCCTTACATTGTGTAATGTTGAATTTGGTCCAAAATACAGTAGATTAACTAAACAATGTCTTGGAATAGTCTCACTAGAGAAGGTGTGTGTGTGTGTGTGTGAGAGAGACAGAGAGAGAGAGAGACGAGGAGGAGGTGGAGTGGCTGTAATGGAGGAACTCAGGAGGGTGTTGATGGAATATGCAAGCAGATAATAGACCAATTTCACACACATCCCCCGCTCCAGCACACACACTTCTCTCTCTTATTCTCTCTCTCCTACACTAGTCAGTAGGGAATCATGAATGACAATCCAGCACTGCCCCACCCAGAAAGCCCCCGATAGGCCTAGCTCAACACACTGAGAGCACAGCATTACAACAAAAACATTTGCTCGGACCAAAAAGAGATGCATGCATATACAGACTAGTTAAAAAAGCACCGGTAAAACCAGACACCTACACATGCACATGGACCCGCATGCGGTTTGCCAGTCTTCTATGAGTATGTGTATCTGGGAACACAGCCATAGGCAGATGATCTGGTTGTCACAGTGAGCAATGGGCTCAAAAACTTGTGTGTCAGTATGCGTGAATAAATGTGTGTGTGTGCGTTTCTGAACCGGTAAACTTGCCGTGAAATTGTGGTGGCGACTGTGACGGATCTTCATTTCCACTCTGACAGTGGTGCTCACGCACACACATTGCTATACCTTTGTTCTTAGACAACAGGTTGTAGAAAGAGAAAAATGTATGTGTGTGTGTGTGTGCTGCTTGCATGTATCAAGTAGGCCTAGTACTAAATAAAAGTCGTGTTAAGTGCCCTTAATGATTGTTTAAAAAACCCATTATGTTCGGCAAATGGATCCCGTATTGATTTCATGTCATTGTACGAGTGTCCGTGTCTCAAGTTTGATCGTCTTTCCTGGCTCTTAAATAATGTATTTCTAATGGACTCTCGATGCACTTACATACTCCATTTAAACGCGACAGGATTCCGATCAATCACCGATCAATAACCTTTAACCTCTGCGTGCAGGTTGCTCTTAACCACAGAACTTCATTCCGTTCAGACACAGAGTCGGCAGGTGATTGTTTCACGTCTCAACAGGGAGATTTTTGTTGCATTGTGTCATGGCTAAAGACTTTCCAGTCTTTCACTCCTCAGTTTTAGCATAATTAGCTTTATTTGTGGACTCTTTTGAAATGTTGTCGGCAAAGAAATCTGTCAAGATCAGGTTTTGGTGTGTGAGAGCATATTTATGCTATTAAAAATATTTACACAAAGAGAAAAATATGATCATTAGGTGAATTAGAGAAAGGTTAATGGTTTAAATCTGGTTATAACAAGTTAAATAACAGTCGCTGTATTTTAGTGTGAGTGGCGTAAATGGCAATTTAATATTAAAGTTAAATATAGTATAAAAATAGTAAATGGCAAACTGCAATGAAATTTAAGTTTTTAATAACTTATGTTGACATTAATCTAAGGCTGAAAACAAAATTAAGACTGTACTAGCAGTTGTTCTTTTTTCTGATCTTTTCATAGTCAAGTATAATAAACTCACTCAGGAAAACATTCATAATCAGACAAGAATGTAGTGTATGACGGGGAAAAGGCTATTATTAGTGTTAGTATTGTTTTAATTTTGGTTGTATTCTGTTGGTCTACTGCATGTATGAATGTTTCATTGTTTGCTTATTCTGTTTCCACAGATAGTTTTGTGTCCAGAGAAATACAAGAATAAGATGGATGAACATGCATTTCATGCTTAATGAGAGTGCATGATGAAATGCTCTTCAATGATCATTATAAATCTATTAGTTTCATAGCTTCTCAAACCACGGCAGACTGACTGCGCAATTCGTGAATAAACAAATGAATACACACACACACACACACACACACAGGACAGAAAGCAGAACTCTCAACACATAATTATCCAGAATTCCTTTGTAATTGAATATCTCTCTCTCTCTCTCTAGCTTTCTGTATCTCTAGAATAATAATTTAGGAAAATGTAGTGTGTGTCATTTTGTCCCAGTTTGAAAGATGGTCACACATCAGCCATTAGCTTTTGATGTAAATATCCTTTAACTGTGTTTTTTCAGTGGATTTGGTTGCATAGAGGCGAAGATGGCTGAGACACTGAGATGTCTGATATCGGTCAGAATTGTCTCCTCTTTTCTCTCTCTGTTCTGTTTCTGTGGTGTTGCCTGCAGCTATAGTCTGTGATAGATAAGATATTATCATGAAAGAAGTTGATGTGATTGCGAATGACTGTTGTGTGGGAGCCATGTGAATTACATCATCCTCTCTTTTCACATCACAGATAACTGATGTTTTTATGCGCAACGCAATGGTTTCACGCTATAGATGATTTCGTTTACACATATTTCATTTTTCAGTGTGCAGATGTATTGCGTGTGTATGTATTTTAATGAGCGTATGATTTGAGTGCGTGTCTGTATAAATGAGCATGTGTGTGTCTTCTGTAACTTGAGCTCTAACGACTGTCCTGTTTCTTTAGCACCTGTCATTCATTTCCAACCCCACCATACCGGCCGTGAACTCCTCAAATGTTTTTTTTGTGTGTGTGCTCGCATAACAAAACAAGATGACAGTGAACAAAACTCCCATATCCGTAAGAACCGACTAACATCACTCGCTCAACATTTACACACACGGTTGTGTTTTGAAATTCCACCACTTACCGAAAGATTTGGTGGGGTTAAAAATAAACCCTGCATCTCCTTTTCAGCAGAACCATATTTTCTAATGTCTGTAATAATATTGAGAATTTAAACATTACGAAAAGTACAAAAATACCTAGGCTGTTTAGAACTGTCTAGACTTTCTGACTACAGAGATATGGACACAGGCATGTAAACGGTGTGCGAAGATTGGGTAAAATGTCATTTCTGTAAAACACAACTCCTAAGAACCTGCTCTGAATTTTTGAAGTGTTCTAAAATCGTATTGTGTCTGAGGTTTCTGTTCTAACGAGACTGAAATACAATACAAGCCAATTATGTTCACAAGCTTAAAGGTGCCAAGCAAGCAAAGGACCCTGTCGTTCATTAACCCCACTCTGTTCGTGGTGTGTGTGTGAGCCTGTATGTGTTCATTAGTGGGTGCAGTAAAGCGTGTCTAAGTGGCACAGTGTGTAAGTAAATGGAGCTGAACTCCCTCTCAGCTGTGGATTTAGGTGCGTGTGTGTGAGAGTATGTTTTTTTGGAAGAAAGGGGGGAAAAGTAGTTCGCCTTTTCAAAGTTAGCGGTGTAGTTTTGCCAGTGAGATGTGCTTGAGCTCCCAGACCACATTCACACATTTTTTTTCCACTAGCTACTATCCAAACAACAGTTTTAGGAAGCAAAAAAAGGTAGAATGTGTAAATTTCAGACTCTGCATGTGTGTTTTTCTCTTGTTCCTCAGAAGTGAGGGGACAGATGTCACAGATTGAGCCGACCCCCCCTCCCGCTGCTCCGCCTCTTCCCCTCCCTATCAAAGGCCTGGGAGTGCTGGGGTACACATCAATCATTCTGAGTGACAGGTAGGAGTGTGTGTGACATTGTGGGAACATGTATAGTGTGTGTTAGAGTGTGTTCAAACACAAGAATTCCTCTGTCCAGATAAAGACACTTTATCTGCTGCTGTCTGCCTGGTCAGACATTATTTACTACTGCCCATCCCCGCACACACTCCCTCTTTTAAAGAGGACAAAACTGCCCTTCTCTCTCCCTCATTCTTTTTTAAAGTTCCATCACTTTCCCTTTCTTACTTACCTGAGTATCTGCCAATCTTGTTCTTTTTAAGTAGTCTACGTTAAAATGTGCATTTGCTTGTTATATACAGTATATTGCTTTCTTTTGACTTCATCGATGCATCATGAATTAGAAAATGATTAAATTACTAATTGGGTTCACATGAACATGGACATTTTTTTGACTTTTTTTATGAATACTTTTATCTGAAAAGCCATGTATTTGCCACTTATAGCTTAACTGACAAATTATTTTTACATTTTTCAGTGTACTATAAAGTTTTACAGCCTTATCCAGATTAAAAACAATTACATATGAATGTCATGTAAACTTATTATGAGCGAGAGTCACTTTGAAGTTGGATTAGTTTTTAAAGGTATAGTTCACCCAAAAATAAAAATTTTGTCAAACAGCTGATGGACCCCATTGACCTCCTACGTAGGGGGAAAAATCTACTGGGTCAATCAACTGTACTGATATTCTTCAAAGTGTCTTCTTTTGGAAGATAGGTCAGAAGAATGAAGTTTGGAACAACTTGAGGGTGAGTAAATAATGACATTGCCCATCGATTTCTCATAGATGTCATAGATGTTTTTGTTTTTTCTAGCTGCCTACGTATTTAAAATATGCTACATTGTGTGTTTGATCTGAAAAGAGCGAATCTGAGGTCATATGGGTATCTATATCCATCCAATCAATGGTAGCGGAAAGTTAAGGAAAGCAGCGATCTGACTGGTTTCCTTCCTGTGGAGGAGCCATTATGGTAGCATTATGGCATGGAAAGATTTATTATAATGATTTCATTCTTTTTAGCTGAGTATTTATTTTGAAAGTTGTTCCAGAGATATATTTTAGTTATGTAGAGTTACATATAAAATAGTGTTCAAAAGGTTTTGCTCATATTTTTTTTATGCTTTTGAAAGAAGTCACCTAGGCTGAATGTATTTGATAAAAACAGCAATATTGTCAAATCTGAATTTTCAGCATCATTTCTCCGGTCTTCAGTGTCACATGATCCTTCAGAAATCATTCTAATATGATGATTTTGTGCTTAAGAAACATTTCTTTACAAAAAGGATTTTACACTTTTGCAATTACAGTCACTTTTGATCAATATAAGGCTTCCTTCCTGGATAAAAGTGTTTATTTCTTTCAGAAAGATAAAAAATGACTGACCCCAAACTTTTGAGCAGTATTGAAACTTTATCTTAGATGTAATGTTGGGTGTCTACAAACTTGACTCAACATTAAATTATTAACTGCAACATTGTAATGTATAGTTAATAGTTCATTTATTTGTTAATGTTTAATGTATTTTGTTAAAACGTGACCGCCTGAGTTTCATTTACCTCCTCCCTCTAAATGCGAGTTCATCATCTTTTACTCTTTGATTTTGTAATGTAATTATTGAATCAGAATAATAAATGTTGGGCGGTGCATCGTGTAGGAGGATAGATTGAGGTTTGAGTTATTATACTTAGAATATACTTCAGTTGAGGTCAAACACACAATGTCACGCCTCGGTGCTCACCAAGGACAGAGTGAGGGAGGGTGGGAGGAGGAGCAGGACAATGTGGAAAGGTGGATCACTGAAATAGGAGGAGGACACCAGAGAAAAGGGAGTTAGAGTGTATGATATGGACCCATTCATGACCTGTAGTATCTCACTGAGCATCACTGACAACTAGTTGAATTAATCACCGGCCCTCTCTCGCTCTGTCTCTGTCTGGACAGATGTATTACTGATGTGGACAGTAATTCATATTAAAGGTTAAAGCTAAAAAACTTTGTTTAGTTACTGGTTGGGCTGATAGGTTGTTATTGCAATTCATACTCTCAATGATGAACAATTTGCACACTATTCTGATCATTATCCCTGATCACAGTACAGTTGCACACTTTCTTTTTATTTCCCCTGAAATATGGTAGGGAATGAGAATGAGAGGTGAAATAAACCTAGATATTAAGTAATAATTGATTGTAATGGAGCAAATTTAGCTTCATTCTAATATAGACATGTAAACATGCATTATGCGACAAAGGAGTCCATTTTATAACATTCTGTTTTACCACTTACTTAAACTATGTACTTTCACGTATCTTTTTTAGTGAGGAATGTACCTTTAGTGTAAGTAGAATTGTGAATTGACATTCAACGTCTGAATGGCTCCTATACTGTACACTGGTGTGTGTGTGTGTGTGTGTGTGTGCGTGTGTGCGTGTGTGTGTGTGTGTGTGTGTGTGTGTGTGTGTGTGTGTGTGTTCTTGTTTAACCTACACGGAAAAAATGTAAAAATGCAATTTTCTGTGATGGGTAGGGTTACAGGATAGAATATACAGTTTGTACAGTATAAAAACTATTATGTATATGTAAAGTCTACATAAAGATATAAAAAAACAAGTTTGTGTGTGTGTGTGTGTGTGTGTGTGTGAGAGAGAGAGAGAGAGAGAGAGAGAGAGAGAGAGAGAGAGAGAGAATAAAGTGACTAGTTAGTAAGCCCAATGATGTCGCAGTGCTAAGCTGCTTCTCTCATTACTCTGATGGACATTTGAATGCTAATCCTGAATTAGCTTGTAAACTATCTAAATGTTTGACTGATGACTTAATCAAACTTCACTCTATCTGTGTGTGCCTGACAGTGATAGATAAGAACTGTGGTTGCATTGTTGTGTTTTCTTAATTGAGAAAACATCTGTGTTTTTTTCCTGCTGTAGGCATCAAAGTACTGGGATGTAGGCTGGTGTTATTTTTTATTTTGTTTTTCAGCGTAGTTTTTATGTGTGCGTGTATGTGTGTGCATATACATAATATATACTGTATATAATATATATATATATATATATATATATATATATATATATATACACTCACCGGCCACTTTATTAGGTACACCTGTCCAACTGCTCGTTAACACTTAATTTCTAAGCAGCCAATCACATGGCGGCAACTCAGTGCATTGAGGCATGTAGACATGGTCAAGACAATCTCCTGCAGTTCAAACCGAGCATCAGTATGGGGAAGAAAGGTGATTTGAGTGACTTTGAACGTGGCATGATTGTTGGTGCCAGAAGGGCTGGTCTGAGTATTTCAGAAACTGCTAATCTACTGGGATTTTCACGCACAACCATCTCTAGGGTTTACAGAAAATGGTCCAAAAAAGAAAAAACATCCAGTGAGCGGCAGTTCTGTGGGCGGAAATGCCTTGTTGATGCCAGAGGTCAGAGGAGAATGGCCAGACTGGTTCGAGCTGATAGAAGGGCAACAGTGACTCAAATAACCACCCGTTACAACCAAGGTGGGCAGAAGAGCATCTCTGAACGCACAGTACGTCGAACTTTGAGGCAGATGGGCTACAGCAGCAGAAGACCACACCGGGTGCCACTCCTTTCAGCTAAGAACAGGAAACTGAGGCTACAATTTGCACAAGCTCATCGAAATTGGACAATAGAAGATTGGAAAAACGTTGCCTGGTCTGATGAGTCTCGATTTCTGCTGCGACATTCGGATGATAGGGTCAGAATTTGGCGTCTACAACATGAAAGCATGGATCCATCCTGCCTTGTATCAACGGTTCAGGCTGGTGGTGGTGGTGTCATGGTGTGGGGAATATTTTCTTGGCACTCTTTGGGCCCCTTGGTACCAATTGAGCATTGTTGCAACGCCACAGCCTACCTGAGTATTGTTGCTGACCATGTCCATCCCTTTATGACCACAATGTACCCAACTTCTGATGGCTACTTTCAGCAGGATAATGCGCCATGTCATAAAGCTGGAATCATCTCAGACTGGTTTCTTGAACATGACAATGAGTTCGCTGTACTCAAATGGCCTCCACAGTCACCAGATCTCAATCCAATAGAGCATCTTTGGGATGTGGTGGAACGGGAGATTCGCATCATGGATGTGCAGCCGACAAATCTGCGGCAACTGTGTGATGCCATCATGTCAATATGGACCAAACTCCCTGAGGAATGCTTCCAGCACCTTGTTGAATCTATGCCACGAAGAATTGAGGCAGTTCTGAAGGCAAAAGGGGGTCCAACCCGTTACTAGCATGGGGTACCTAATAAATTGGCCGGTGAGTGTATATATATACTCTTAAAAGGGGGTCTATATATGTAGCATAGGGTTCTTTACTCAACTGCAAAGGACCTTTTATGCAAAAAAATGATGATAATGACAAGAAAGAACCCTTTTGGGTTCATTCATATATTACAATACTCTGCAACATTTTGCTGTTGTAATTAAATTGTTTGTTATTGTTAATTGCATATTGTTTATTAAACCTTTGTAGTAACTTAATATCACATTTTAATCATGCTGAAGGATAAAAACTGAAATGGCACTTCAGTTTTTGAAGGATAAAAACTGAAATTGCACTCTTCGTGTGACATTGATTAATTACATGTTTTAACTCCCATATCTTGAATTTTGTGATCATTCATGCATTGTATTTAGGGGCTCCAAATGTGTAGCGCTTTAGAACCTTTTAAGGTTCTATATAGAACCTTTTCTTCTAAGAGTGTGTATATATATATATATATATATATATATATATACGTATATATATGGCTGCTTTTCGCACAACACTGAACAGAAGACTGGAGTATGATGATGGAAATTCAGCTTTGACCTCACTTGAATAAATTACATTTTAAAATATATTATAACATTTTTAAATGTAATAATTGTTTTACTCTATTTCTGATCAGCCATGGTAAGCATAAGAGACTAGTTTGACCCCAAACGTTTGAACGATAGTGTGTGTATATCCCCCTAAACAACCAGATGAAAATTACAATATTACATACTGTATAAGAATCAGTTTAGCTCTATAAGGATTTGTAGCTGATATATTTTAGAGCTAAATATAACTAGAACAATGTATTTTTACTTTTCCTGGTCTTGAAATCACGACTTAAAAGTTGTCCATGACCATGAGAACCATGAGGTTAAACAGTTTTAATGAAAATGGACACATTTGTGCATACTGGCACAAAAAAGCACAGCAGAGCTAATGTCAAGCAGCCAAAACAGAGAAAAATAAAACATCCTGAGGTCTGTATCCTTCCTTTTTGAATGTGTGTGTGTGTGTATAATTGTGTCTGCGTAGGTGAGTGTGTGTTTGTAAGAGCCATTAGGCTTTCTGTTATTAAACTCTTGTAGAGGAAGGACAATATCCAGACTTCCAAATTTAGCCTTGACGGTCAGGGAAAAGGTTAGCATGCCTGAAAAAGACCCCAAAATTCTTGTGTATATGTGTGTGTTTGCAGGTGGGGATATGTGTGTGTGTTTGTTCAGGTGTGGGAGTGTGTGGGTGAGCATAGATGCATTTAAATAGACTTGGACAGTAGTCTAAAGTTTAAATCGCATACGATATGGTTTAATCATGCTCACTCTTAAGTGTTTACCGCTTATTGAGTGCAGCAAATTCTGGCATGGCTGTTGTCACTTGGCTGTTCAGTGGAAACGTATGACCTCCATTATGTCATTATGTCATTATGTCATTATAAACTGATTTAAAATCAGAACAC